TATCATCTATCTATCATCTATCTATGTCTATCTATCGATCTTAGACTGGGTCTCTCATTGAACCTACAGACTGTTGATTTGGCTTGGTTGCAGATTGTAGGTTGGCTTGGTCAGCAAGCTCCAGGGATCCTCCTGTCTCTGTCCCTCTCAGCTCTGAGGTTATGAGTCCATCACCACATCCAGCTTTTATGTGGTTGATGGAAATATAAACTCGGTTCTCCATACTTACAGCATCTTACACACTGAGTCATCTCCCCAGCTCAGAGCCGTTGATTAGGCCATCTTAATTATTGTTTTTCTTACTCTAAATTATGGTCAGATTGGCTTGTGTCCTTAGCAATGATAAATTTAGACTTTTCCCACAAGTTGCCTTGTGTTCTTTTTGCACATATTAAACAAATGATTCCATAAAAAGCCAGATTACACCAAATTGTTCAGTTAGCAGATTGTCTTAATTTTTTTCCCCATAAATTTACTGGCTTTTGCTACACAAAGGCCCCAGGCCTCCTTCTATTTGGTCTTGTTTCTATATAAATTTGGAACCAAGGTTTCATGAATACCCATTTCACATCTCCACACATTTTAAGAGCTCCTTGGCCTTAGGGACTCTGGTCACTTTGTTTGCCCTGTACCTCTAGGAAGCCTTGTCTGGACAGTGTGCAACTCATATGCCAGGAGACAGAATGACAATAGAGGAATAAAATATTCCATTGACATTCTTGTAAGAACTGTAATCTACCTGCAGGTGTAAAAAGGATGCCTGCCTAGGCAGGATATCTCCCTGTTAAATGTTTCCGGGCCGATTAAATGTCATTTTCATTTTTACAAAATCCCTTTACTGACCATGACCTATAATTGGTGATGTGAAGAATAGAGGAAAAAGAAACATGGAAGCCTCGTGGATTCTGTGTTTTTGTTTTACTCGGATACAAAATCTTCCTTGGTAGCCCACACTATATTATAGACCAGGCTGGCCTTGAACTCACCACATAGCCGAGGTTGGTCTTAAACTCACAATCCTCCTGCCTCACTTGAGTTCTGGAATCACAGGCATGCACTACCCCCCACCCAACTAGCTAATCTCTGGTTCCAATCGTTCGCTTTCATCTATTTTGCTTACAGCAGCACTACTAACTGACCCCCGTTAACATTCCTCATGTTGGATGGGGACGAGGAAGTTCAAGGACTAAATACCAAGTCCCACAATAGAAGAGAAAGTGTTGCTCATAGCTCTGCAGTTTCATCCCAGCCTCCCTCACAGGGGTGTGTGACTCTTACTGATGAAAGCCTGTAGGTTACCCAGTGATGACAGAGACATTTCCAAGGATGCCATTAATGTGTTAGTCAAACAAGTGACCTTTTCCTCGAGATTCCCTGGGATGTTTTCAGCTGAGGACAAGAGACCTGTTGAGCGCAGCAACACTGGCTACTTTATTAGGCTACCCCTGGCTTCTTGGGGAACTGTCCAAACCACATATTTGTGACCACGACAGTTAGTCTTCCTTCTCCTTGGAAAACAAGCCTGGCCTCAGCCTTCACACACTCCCTCTGTGTATCAGGGAGGAGAATTACGTTTCGACTTGGCAACCGGGCCCTGCCCGCGTTACAGCTACTGCTGCTACAGTCCAGATGAAGAAGGCTGGCCAGAGAGCTCAGACAAAGGGACAGGCATGAGCCAGCTTCCCTCACATGGCCAAGCACGTGGTCAGCCCTGAGTGCCAAGCCTACAGAGGCACTGGGAAGACGACTGGAGGAGGGGAAGCCATGTTTGTCCATTTCAATTCTAGTCCAGGCAGGCATATACCAGCAAATAGACCTCATATTCCACTAATACTTAATTTTTCATAAGCAGGAAAGAGCCATTTTTAATAACAGAGATTGTCTAAAATAATTGATAACCTCCCAGCTCCAGCTCCCAAATTCAGCCAAATGCGATCTCTCTGGCAGCAGATTCATTTTCCTACCCTGCAGTGAAGGCAATGTTTCTAATCCTCTTTAATAAGGAGATTTACAGAAGCATAAAGAGCAGAACAGAAACCTCTACTTGCTGCCACATTTGAGGAATTAAGCTCAGAAGGATGGAGCAATGGGGACCAGGTTATAAAACAAACAGGGCTGTAATCCAAGCTCTGGGCTGTCACTGGTTTCTCTTTCATCTTGGGCAAGGTACTCACACATTCTAAAACAAACTTTTGTTTTTAGAAAAATTCTGTTTGAACAAGACCATGTTTGAAGTCCTTCCCATCTCTAAAATCCTATACTACTAGCCACAGAGAGGAAGTCCATGGATGACTATATCAGAAGGTAGAAAAGGTTTATGCTCATCTGGGCTGGGATACATGCCATGCATTCTTGGGTCTTCTTGATGAGTTAGCCCACTGCTCTCATTGAAAAAACTTGATAACATATTTAGCTCTGTGTTCACTTTGGGTTCTAATCATAAAGATTTAGAGAGACATATGTGGCATTGTATACCTGTAATTTCAACACTTGGAGATAGAAGCAGGATTGTAAAAAAATCAAGGCCAGCCTGATCTACATAGGGAGTTTCAGGACAGCTAAGGCTACACAATGAGATCCTGTATCAAAAAAACAACCACTAACAAATGAAGTTTTAGAGATATTCATCTTAAATATATAGGTTATATTTCACAACAACTATTGAGGTTGGCATTGTTACTATTGTTATTATTACGAACTGAGGCAAGAGTAGGAGAGACAAACGATTCAGACACTTACCTTGGTATGCTGAGTGTCTGAACTCCATAGATATGGGCATGCCCCGGCACAGAAGTTGGCATTGTACCCTTTGGGCTCATGGATCCATTTCCACCCAAGATCCCGCTTGAAATCAATGTAAAGAGGGCGAAGGCAGCAATTATCCTGCACATTTCTGTTCAAAGAAGAAGCAGTGGGGATTTGGAGTTGGTTACGCATGCATCTCACCCATTCACTCATTCCACTCACAGCAAACACCATGAGACTGGTCTTGCTGGCTCTCTTGCCATTTCACACAATGCCAACAGTGAGATGCCACAGTGAGTCCCTGAACTATTTCCCTGTATGTATTCTATACCCTGACCTTCTTGTCTGTGACCTGGAAAATCAACATTCATCTTCAGTGAACTAAGAGTCAGCAAGAAGACAGTTGCAAGGGGCAGAGTCTTTCCTGGTGAGCAGCTGCCAGCCATCTTCTACTGCTGCTGTGTGCACGCAATGAAAAAAAATATAACAGATATTTTCAGAGAGCCCCCAGAGGCATTCCCCTTTGAGACTCTATCCTATGCTTTACCACCTGTTGCTAGATCAAGAAATGAATCAGAGTTCAAGAACTGTGGAGTCTTGTTGCCATAATCCCTGGCTCTGTCGACCAAAATAGCCTCCTCCATCTGTGACCTACGAGGTGGTAAGCACCTTGTAAGGAGGATCCTGCCCCTGATCCAACACCAATTGACATGCCAGAATGCATGGGGTAAATGGGATAAGAGGGAGGAGTTGGAAGGACAAAGTGATGTATCATAATGCTTTAATAAAAAATAAAATAAAATAAAATCGTTTTCGAAAGCCGTGGGGAGGAAGTCGTTCTGAGATAAAAACCTTTACTGTCTGTACCTGTCCTTGAGCAATGACTTCAATCCAGGTCAATATATGGAAGGGAAGGAAAGACAGTGCAACGGTTAGCAGATGTGAACATTCGCTTTGATTTTCATTTCTTTACCTAAAGCAATAGGCGGCATCCAGAGCACGCTTCTTCCGCCGGTTGGACTGTTGTGACTCCAGTCTGTAGGAGGGCAACAACATTAGCAGGAGATGTGGGGTCTTCCCACTGTTTTTTTTCCTAGTGGACTTTATAGTTTTCTGATCACCACTGGTATATATGGAGGTGCCATCAATACCTTGAAAAAACGCATTTGGGTAATAAACATTTAGCTTTACCTTTATCAAATATAAGCAGCAATATTTATATAATCTAGTTCCCCATGTCTACGGTCACGAACGGCAGCGACGAACACCGCGGCTGCCTCGCCTGGCTATCATCATTCCCCACAGACACAGCCAGGGCACAATGGGCCTCCCACAAGTGACAATGAACACATCTAAATGGGCCTCTTGTCCAAGGCAGTTCTGGCTTGAAGGCAGGGCTGTTACTGGGAAAAGTCACTACAGAAGAAGTCTTTGACCTATGGTCCAAGGGCAATCTAGGCAGTTTATTTTAGTCCATCTTCAGTGTGGGCTGTGTTCAAGCTCTCGGCAACAGAACACACAGCCATAGAGCACGCCTTGTCGCCTGCTGGTTCGCTCTCTTCCTGAGACCATCAACCCCAAAGGCCTTCCTAATGAGCAGAACCTGAGCTGCAGCGAAACGGCCGTGAACTGGGTTCACAGAAACAGAAGCCACCCTTCCCTAATGCTATTTGGGGAAACGGTACAGAAAGACCTTTTTCATTCATTTTATGGCATCCTCAACACTTTTCTGATTCCATCTGAGATTTAGAAACCTGAGCTCCCCAAAGCATGCACCAGAGGCTGCCAGTTTAAGCATTTAATCTCCACTCAAGAGAATCGTGGCTAGGTTGGAGACCAAAATAAATCTCTTCACCTTCAGGGAGTGTTTTTCCATGTCCAAGGGCCACTGAGGATTTCTAAAAGTGGATTGAGGTCCCAGGTGAGGTGATGAGGGAAGGCTGGCAGATGCCACACAGTGTGCGGCATGGACGTCCCTTTCACCTCCTCTCCCAACAGTTCGCTGTCCCTTAAGTCAAGTGACTTGAACCCTTGGCATCTTTATTTACTCTGTGTGTTGATGAATTCAGCTCAAAGGTGAGCAGGGGAAAGGAGAGCCTCCTTCCTTGCCATTTGTTAGCGGCTACAGAAACCTGGTAGAGTTGCATACAGTGGGTGCAGGCTAGAAAAAGGTGGTGTGTCCCAACACCTGGAAGGTGAGTTACAGAAACTGAGATGCAAGACCATTCTTTTCTTTGGTGAAATGCATTTGTTGATGCTTGAAACTTTGCTTAGTGGGTTAGGAATGGATTTCCTCAGCTTCCATAATGAAATTTTTAATGTTTTCCTCCTTTTTTCTCTTAAATTTTGTTCTATTTTGAAGGGGTATAGGAGTGGAGGGTAGCTACAAAGGGACAGGGAGATGAATGGAAGACACACAGAATAAATAAAAAGAAAGTTAAAAATGTATTTCCTTGAGTCCTTGTCATCTACTTCAATAATCTCAGTAGACAGGAAGCTGATTTGCTTAGCTGAGGAGGAAAGGAACAGTGAGCAGAGCAGCCGTTCACAGGGTTACAGAGCCAGCTTCATCACTAGGCGTGAAGCAGTGAAAGTCTGGAGTCGACTCCATTCTTCCAATCCTTTCCATTTAGAAGAAAATGCCTTTATTTTATTTTTCAGTAATGTTTATTTGTGTGTGCACTCGAGTGCAGGTGCCCTTGGAGGCCAAGAGGGGTCTCCAGCTTCCCCTGAAGCAGGAGTTAGAAGCATTGGGAGTTCCCTGGTGCAGGTTCTGGGAATCGAACTCAGATCCTTGGCAAGGGCAGGACCTGCTCTTAATCACTGAGCCCTCCCTGGAGGCGCACTTCCTTCTCTCTTCTGCCGCCCAGAGACATGAAGGTGCCCACCCTTCACCAGCAATGCCGTTTTCACATGCAAACTGACTTCAGCCCTCAGAAGAGATTTTCCCAGTAAGGATAAAGCTTCAGTTACCTTCAAATCTCGCTTCGAGCTCTTCACTTTTATTCGGGATAATGTAATTATTAGATGGTACAAAGGTACAGCAGGGGCAGTGTAAACTGATCTTAAATCCCAGGTTCCTGTCTGGAAAACAGTAAGGTAAGGAAATCATTTGTACGTGTGTCTGTGTCTGGAGTCAGCTCACAGGCTGCTGGGGCCGCATCTAGGGGACACAAAGGAGGGGCTTTGCAACCTTTGTGGTGAAGCCACTCGTGCACGGCGTCGGTCACGTCGAAGGAGAGCCACTCGCCCTCGGCTCTCGTTTTCACAACCTTGCTGTCAATGTAGCGCTGGGTTGGAGACGTTAAGTCTTTGGATTTGAGGATCTGGAGAGGGGAAAAAGCAGGAGAAATCGCTCAGCTGGATGCTGGCTGCCTGACCAAACCCAAACCGACCACGCTCTTCCAAGTCATTATTGACACTTAGCTCCAAGTCTGTATTCATGCAATGTCATCCCGGCAACGAGGTTCCGTGTGTGAGAAGGCAACACCGGGCCATTTTCTGGAAAAAGTATTGCTAGGAAATCTGCTGTGTGTTCTGATAAAAATGATAGCTACCATAAAGGCCGGTGTCGAAAGAAAAATGACAGCCATTCTGATTTTACTTTGTTGACAGAAACTCTGTAAGAATCCACCATAACTTTTTTCTTTTTTAATGTATGAAGCTTGTGGCTTTGTTGCTCTGTCTCCTTATTTCTTTAATTTGGGGATCTGGAAGATGAGGGCACAGTTCAGAAAGCCCACACCCTCCCTTGCAAGTCCTCGGATTATAAATAGAGGGAGAAAGGGCTTGCCCCCCTTTCCTAAATCTGCTGGCACTAAAATATGTGCCCTGCTTTTGAGGTAAACCTCTGGCTGGGATTTTGACTCTGAGCGTGATTTGTGATTTATGATGAAATCTGCATCCTAACATCAAGGAAGGACTCTGGGCAGGGGCACTCCATCGCAGTGTGCCATTGAGAGTCTGGAAAAAAATCTGCCCGGGCACCAAGACTTCAGGAAGATAGAGAAGGGGCTGTGACAGGTCACTCTGGGGTTTCACCGGGAAGTGCACCTCTGAGGTACAGACTTCTACAAGTCTGTTTTAAAACGATCATGTTTTATGAATTAAACTGTGACCCTAAATCTCCTGGAGCTTTGGTGACTCCTATGTCCAGCCCGTGGCTTGCCTTTCAGCAGTACTTATGGGCTCAAGCCACACTGTTTCATACAGATATTCCTGATTCTCAGTCTAATTTTGAGGGTTTTTCTTACATAGGGATTTGGTCCCTCCAGATCATGGAGTCATGCCATCAACTGGACAACATTTCAAAGAGTCACTCTCCACTGATTCAACTGCTACTAAATGACTCTCTAGATATCTAGTAGACATATTTGTTCCCTGGTTACCTGCAAAATCAAAACATGCTACTTTCTAACTAGTTGTTAATGCATCCTCCAACACACACATACACACACACACACACACACACACACACACGTCTTCACAGTTTGCTTGAGAAAATGTGGCAACGAGTGCTTCCTGGGATATTTGGGGTTAGAGCAGATTCACCCCTGGATTGACCAAGTACTATGGAGAAGGAAGAAGTAAGAGTTGGGGTTGTAGCTCAGTGGAAGAGTGCTTGCCTAGCATCCACCAGTCCCTGATTAGATCTCCAGACTAGAGAAGGAAGAAAGAGAGGGGGTAAGGGATAGAAGGAGGGAGGGAGGGAGGGAGGAAAAAATGAGAGGGGAGGATGAAGAGAGAGGGAAGGAGAAAGGAAGAAAGAAAGGGAGAGAGGGATGGGGGAAAAGAAAGAATGGTACAAGAGGAAATAAAAACTAAGTAATAAAGGAGAGGGCAAAGGAAAGAAGGACAAAGAGAGAGGAAAGATGGAGAAAAAAAGGGGAGAAAAATAGAAAAAAAGGAAGGGAAGGAAAGAAAAAAAAACATTCATTCATTTACATGCTCAGGTGTCCTCATGAACTTCAGTCAGCCCTGCCTCCGTGGACAAAACCCACTAAATGGAAGAATATAGGGGTGACCATGATCCTGTAACAGGCAAGAAGTGTTTTTTACTTGTTAAAGAAAACCAATGAATATGATTGGAGAGCTGGGTACGATAGACTCTGGACTTAATGCACACTTTTTGGTTTAACTTCATCCTCCAAAGATCCCTGTAAAGTAGATGAAGCAAAGGGAAATGAGGGAGGATTCAAAGGCCGCCCCACCCCAAGCCATTTTCCCACTTTGTAATGACAATCCCAGTGGGACCATGGGGTCAAGACATTTTCCATAGGGTAGAAAGAATTCAATAATCAAAGTAAAAATCTTTGAAGAAGATTGTACTAAACCTTGATGCAGGCAGAATGCACGCACACCTAGCCAAGGCTGACATGGAACATTAAAGACTGTGAGTCCTCTAGGCGTAAGACCTGTCTTGGGCGACTAAGACACAGCTTAGCGAACTTAGGATAAATGGCGCGATGTGCCCGAGATGGGGTAAGAATGATAGAAACAATAGTGGAAGTGCGACTTCGTCCACTTCCCTTCCAGACCAATGGTTCAGAGCACACCCTGAATTTGTCCACTGGCTGTGGATTTTTCTCCGACTAGGGTTTTCTGTAAGGTCATGTGGTAACTTGAATATTTTCTATGCTCTTAGTAGCGTATTCATCTTCATATAATTACTATTTAGGAATACCCAGAACAAAAACTCATTTTTATAACTTAAGTAATTACATATAAATTACGTATTATATAATTAGTTGATACTATGATAGAACAATTTATATGATTATAAATTTTGCATGTAAAATTAAATGAATATTCAAATGTCTATGTATACTTGATACATGTACATGACTCTATCTCCACACATACACATACACATGCATATACATAATATCCAATCTCACTAAAGACACGACTATCATGATAATCAAATGGATGAAAAATACGTATGGGCAAACTGATAGAAAAATTATTATTCTCATTACATTTCTGTACATGTGTGAGCATGTAGAGAGGCATGTGTGCTGTGGTAGGTGTGGTAGTCAGGGTACAGTTTCCAGGAGTTAGTTCTCACTACCACTGTGTGGGTCTCAGGGATTGGACTCAGGTCAGCAGGCTTGGGGGCAGACATCTTTGCTGAGCCACCTAACCAGCCATTGATGGGAATTCTTTTCTTTACATAGGAGTAAACCTATATTATTCTGACTTCAACATGGGAGATACAGGCTAGCAAAGGACTCTGGCTTTTTCTGTTGTGAAGCCACTGAAGAGTTAGGGTTGGGGCTTCCTCAACCACAGAGCAATGGGGGGGGGGCTCAGTCAATGGACAACTCACCTCTTTTGAAATCAGGAGAGGGGCTGCTGGATTGTTTCTCGTATAGATTTAAGAGTCATGAAAAGGCCACATGTCAACAACGCCATGAAAGACAGGAGGCCACATCACTCTGAGACAGAGAAATGACCACTTCTCTTTCTGCTTCTGTGTCTAGAACTCTCCGGACTACGACTTCTTAAACTCACTTGCAGTCTTAACTCCACTCTTCTCCCGTCCTCAGCAGAGACAGGAAACAGCTGTTTCTCATCACTCAGTGAACAGCCCTCCTGCTCCTGAAGACTGTAACTAAGTCCCCTCACCATGCATGTTTTCCCTCTCTCTAAGCTAAATAAACGGAGTTCCTTTAGACCGTGTTTAGAGGGGCAGACTCCCAAACCTTTAATCATTTGAGTGGCTAACAAGGACGAATGATGCTTTTTAAAAGGATTCCTCCACAGGATTCATGATTCCTTCTCAGAACCGTCTACAAAACTTTCTAACCACACCACACCACAGAATCTTCACTTCAAGGCTGTAGGTGCCGCTCTTCCCTTCCTGCTTCTTCCCACTTATCAGCATGCTAAGTCAAGTCCAAGGCAAGATGTACTGGGCGTCAATCTGCTGCCTCTGCTCACTGGTCCCTTTGAGCCTTCACAAAGGGTGCTGGGGAGGTAGTTCCAGCAGTAAAGTGCCTGTCCTGCAAACACGGGGATCTGAGTTTAGAACCCCAGTGCTCACATGAAAAGTCGGGCATGGTGGCGTGCATCTGTAACTACAGTTCAAGATTAGACGCAGGAGAAGTCCACCAGTCGGTCAGCCTAGCTGAATGGATAAGCTCCAGGTTCATGGAAAGATCAATTAAAAGGCAGAAAGCAATAAAAGAGCACATCCAATATTGATCTCTGGTCTCCACATATATGTACACACATGCGCGTGCATGCGTGTACACACACACACACACACATACACAGACGTCATACAAAAAGGACTAGACCAGTTAACTTCCCATTATATTGTAGCCTTTGCTATCCGAGTCTTTCTGTAGCTGTCTATAAACCAGGGCATCGAATGGGATTAGCTGCTAGTTCCTTCTGGATCCAAAGCCATTTGTTGCTGTGTTTCTTTCTACAACTTATCACGGCAGAGGTAATTTGGTGGATGTCCCAGTTAACCAAGGCCGCCCATCCAATTCAGAGTCTTTCTCAGCTGGCCAGAACCTACAACATGCTGGGGCTCTTCTAGGACCTTACTTCTTAACCACTTCTGGCCTTGCCTGGTAAATTGCATGCTTAGCAAATGCCCATTGTGCATGCTTCCCAACTGGTTAATGACACCCGGACTTGGTATTGCAATTATGCAAGTTAATTAAGTGGCTAGAAGAGGATAATGTACAAGACCGAAAGAAAAGGGAGTTAGTACGTCCATGAAAAATCAAAGCCTTCCAGAGGGTCGTCAGAATGATGACTTACTGTAAGGAAAAAGTGTGTTTTTGAAAACAGTATGGCAGTTCCTAAAAAAGAGTGAAGAGATCCAGAAAACCCACTCCCACCTGTTAATCCAAAGAGTCAAGAGCACAGATGCAAACTGACAATGTAGAGACCAATTGTCTTTGTTACTCTTCTTTTGCTGTGAAGAGACACCATGACCAGGGCAGCTTATAGAAGAATGCATTTAACTGGAAGTTGGCTTACAGTTGCAGAGGGTTAGCGCATGTCCATCATGGTGAGTAGCATACTGCGGTAGCTGTAGTTGAGAGCTTACATCCTGATGCACAGGCAGGAAGCAGAGTGGGTGAGAGACTGGATCTGGCATGGACTTTGAAACCTCAAAGCCCAGCCCCTGTGACACACCTCATCCAACAAGACCGCATCTACTAATCCTTCCTAAACGTTCTAATAACTGGGAACCAAATTTACAACTATATGAGCCTGCAGTGAGGAGAGAGGGTCATTCACATTCACATCATCACACCAATGTCCACAGCAACATTGTACATAGAGCCAAGGGGCGGAGAAAGAC